TAATCGGATTATTACTTAATTATCATCTTTTTGGACAGAAAAATCCTAAAGTTGACAATGGCAGATTGTGTGAAAAAATTTTTTTCACCACGTTTATTGGATTATATTGTTATTGTTGGTACACGAACACCATCATCAACACAATCAGTACAGCTACCAGAATTATTACGTCGTTATCCACCTGAAGATCATAAAGATTTTCCATTATCACCGGATGTTGTATTTTTTTGTCAACCAGAAGGTTGTATTAATACGGATATAAGACGTTTATCACAAAGGGATACAAATTCATTTGTATTTGCATTAACCGAAAAAGATACATCACGTGTACGTTATGGTATTTGTATGAATTTTTATAGAAATTTTGATCTACATACACCACGTTGTTCAAAATCGGGTGATGATAATGATAATGATAATGGTAATGGTTGTGGTAAACAAACTACTGGAAGTAGTAAAACCAAACAAAGATGCCTTTCACTAATATCATTATGTATTATATCACATCATCCATTTTTTTCAACATTTCGTGAATGTTTAACAATATTAAGAAAAATGATTTTTATGTTTAGCCAAAGAAATAGAGATAAAAAACATCGAAGGTAAGAAAAGAAGAAAATTTCTGAAATTTTTTTCCAGAAACAAAATTTGATTATTTTTTGATTTCTTTTTGATGCATTTCTTCAGAGATCTTGTATGGACATTATTAACAACAAAATTTGAACCAGATTTTACAAAAATATTACCCGAAAATATTTTAAATGATGTTTGTGAAATTGAAACATGGTGTTTACGTTTATTAAGTTCACCAGTACCTGTACCGGGTAAAACAAAAGTTGAATTAGAAATATTGGATCAAGAAATTCATCAACCATTAATATTAGCATTACCTGATCATACAAGATTTTCATTAATAGATTTTCCATTACATTTACCATTAGAATTATTAGGTGTTGAAACTTGTTTAAAAGTAATAACAATGATTATGATGGAACATAAAATTGTTATACAATCAAGAGATTATAATGCCCTATCAATGTCAGTTATGGCATTTGTTACAATTATTTATCCATTTGAATATATGTTTCCTGTGATACCATTATTGCCAACATGTATGAATTCAGCTGAACAGGTAAATTACGAAAAACAAAAAAAAAACATTAACAAATTAATTGATTTTTTTTGTGGTCTAGTTATTATTGGCACCAACTCCATTCATAATAGGTGTTCCATCATCATTTTTATTATATAAAAGAAATTTCAAATTACCCGATGATGTTTGGTTAGTTGATTTGGATACAAATAAAATAATTAAACCAACTGCTGCTGATGATCTACCACCATTACCTGAACCAGAAGGTAGTACATTGAAAAATCATTTTAAACAAGTTCTTGCATCAATGTCAATAACAAATCCGGCTCAATTAAAACAACAATCAATAACAAGCAATAATTCCATACAACAACAACAACAACAAACCGGTTCAAATCGCATATTTGATCCATTATCATTTGGTAATGATGTTGATTCGGTTGATATTGCTGCCCGTATAGCAATGGTTAAATTTTTCAATTCAAATGGTTTATTATTGAATTTTTCTGAATATACACGAACAATACGTTTATTTCCAAGACCTGTTGTTGCCTTTCAAATCAATTCATTTCTACATTCACGTCCTAAATCATCTGTCTTCCTAACTAAATTTGTTCAAACTCAGGTAAAAATCTTGTTTATATTTTTCTATTTCAAAAGGTTAATCATTAATATTCTTTATGAAACAAGGCTGTTGAATTTTTTGCCGAATGGTCATTATGTCCTGATAATGTTGCCTTTATTCGTGTTCAAAATGGTGTTTATGATCCAGCGATTATCGGTGATAAAGCTAAATGGTATAGCTTTCAATTGGATACAATAAATTTTCGTGTTTGCAGTAATGTTAATTGTAAATTGACAAAAATTTTTAAAGAATTTTTGGAAAAAGAATTACAAGATAGTGATGATGATGATGATGATGATGACGATGATGATGATGACGATGATAATGCAAATGATGATGATGATAGTATTGATGAACCAAGTACATCATCATCATATTCATCATTGAATGAATTTGTTGAACAAATGTGTAATGCAAATCGTATCAATTCCGAGTATTTAAGTGAGTTTTCATTCTTTATCCATATCTCTTTTCATTTGATTTAATGTTTTTTTTTTATTTTTCCAAAATCACGCGATACTAGATACATTAAGAGATCCATCAAATTCAAGTTTTACATTATGTGATACAAGTTTAATATTTCATCCACCTGAATCAATACAATTAACATCAATACCTGAAGATAATTATTATGATAAAATAGATAATAATGATTCGAATGTTGATATTGTTCCAATAATAACTGCACGAACAAAAATTCGTAGAAAATCTTCCATACAACAACAATCAATACAACAACCAGAAATACATAAATCATCATCATCATCATCGAATTCAGATTCAGATGATGATGATCAACAACATGAATTTAAAACAACCACATTATATGAAAAAACAAACATCACTTTACCGGATTTAAATCAAATAACATCAAATTTAAATAAAGTAACAAGTGAAAGTACTGAAACAATGGAACCAATTACCGAAATTAGTCGTAGTTCAACACCAAAAGCATTAGAAAATATTAGCTATGCATCAAGTTCATCAATACCAAACATATCACCATCAAATTCATTGGATAAATCATCCGGTACATCAACACCAACATTAACAAAAGCTATATCAATATCATCAGTATTTTCACGTTCACAATCACAAACACATCGTGATTCAATATCGGGTGGTCATTCAATTCTAGATCGTTTAACAAATGAAGCAAAAGATATGGCACGTGAAGCAAAAGCGGTGGCAAAAGAAGTTGTAGCAAAACCAGCTGCACAAGCTGGTAAGAAAAAATTCTTAGCTAAATTACAAGATTTTGGTGAACCAATGAAAGGACAGGCAAAAGAATTTTGGCGTCATTCAAAAGAAGAAAATGAACAACAACATCATCATCATCATCATCAACAACAACAACATACACCACAATCAACAAATGTAGATAATTTTGGACTTCCATTATCATCATCATCATCATCAATCATATCATCAATGTCAAATGATTTTAATGGTCTTGCCGATAAAACAGCCGGTATGTTATCGGGTTTTTTTAGCAAATCAAATCTGGCCAAAGTAAAAGAACGTACACAACCATTTGGACCATTTCCAAAAGGTAAAAAAGGTTTGATTGAAAAATCAAATTTAATTCGTCATACATCAGGCCAACAACAACAATCGATTGAACAAAAAAATCAAAATCATAGGTAAATTTTTTCTTAATTTCTATTTGTTCGTCTGAAGGGTTAACTAATAATTTTAAATTTATACAGTGATAATCAAATATTCTTAAAAGATTCAATAAATTCAGTATTGGATGGTGAAGGTATTGGTTGGTTAAAATTATCAAGATTAAAAAAATTAATGGAAGATGAACAATATCGTTCATTAGTAATACAATTATTAAATAAAGCTGTACCGAGAAAAATTGGCCCTGATGATCATATTGAAGATGTACAAATACCACGTAATGTTTGGAAAGGATTACTGAAAATTCTGAATGCAATGATTTATGGTTTAGAACAAAATTATTTTCATCATCCATCCAGTAATAATAATAATAGCGGTAGTGGTGGTATGGCAAGTACATTTGCAATATTAGAAATTGCACATACACATTATTGGGTTAAAGAAATGACAGCGGAAGAAAAATCATCAATAGCAGCAACAACGGCAACTTGTTCACAACGTTCAACACCATTTGGTTCGAATGAAAATCTTTCAAAATCGATTAATATTGAACAACAACAACAACAACAACAACCATCACCTGAATTACAATCCGAAACAAAAGGAACAATAATATCAAAATCAAATGAACAACAACAACAACAAACAACACCAAATTGGAAACGTAATCTAATGTTAAATCAATTAATTTCATTTGAATCGGATGTATTAAGTGATGCATCACCGTCATGCAATGTCTCTGATGCCGGATCATTGACGGTAAATCCTATTTTTGGCACGAAATTATTCAACAGCAATTCTTTTCGTTCTACCTGTTCTGACACTGATATAGAAGTAATTTTTCCACTTATTCTTTCTTTTTTTGTTTGTTTTTAATAGACCTTTCCTTTTCCACGTTTTTTTTCTGTTCAACAATTTTACATTTAACAACAAATACCATTTAGCTATTTTTTAGGGAAACCAAAATTCTTTGCATATTTCGTAACCAAAAGAATTTTAAGCTAATTTTCTGAATTGTTTTTTTCTTCAATAACAGGGATTACAACAAGGTCGACAATCACGTACATCAAGTGTATGGAGTAGTAAATCATCAATATCGGCTGGTTTTCGTTATCATGGTGGTGCATTAATCGGTTCAATACCGATGGAAATTCAACGATATTATCTATTTGAAGGTATTATTGGTAATAATCGTTCAAATCTATGGGATCAGATGCAATTTTGGGAAGATGTATTTTTGGATGCTGTTTCACAAGAACGTGATCTGATCGGTATGGATCAAGGTCCAGGTGAAATGATGAGTAGATATCATACATTATCGGAAATTGATAAAAAACGTTTAGAACATGAAGAGGATCGTTTATTAGCAACATTTTTATATAATATGACTGCATTTATGATTATGGTCAATATTGATCGTACCGAAATTAAACGTAAATGTCGTCGTTTATTGGGTAAATATATCGAAAAATAAAATAATAATCATAATTATCTTAATTGTAATTGTAATTATAAATAGGTAAATGTCATATTGGTCTTGTTTATTCAGCCGAAATTAATGAAGTATTAGATCAAATTGATTACTTACATGGTAATGATATTGATTTAAAACCATTATCAACAAGACAAATACATCGGCAAACATTTACTGTACATATGGGTACTGATTCATTGGGTGATATGATGTTCATGGAGGTACGTGATGATGGCCTCATATTACGTTCAATAAATGGTATTATTATTGAACGTTGGTGGTATGAACGTTTAGTCAATATGACTTATTCGCCCAAAAATAAAGTATTATGTTTGTGGCGCCGTAATGGTGCCCATACACAATTACATAAATATTATACACGTAAATGTAAAGATCTTTATTATTGTATTAAAGAATCAATGGAACGTGCTGTACAAAATGGTACAGGTACATTGCCAGGTAAATTTTGTTAATTTTTAAAAAAATTTTTTATTTTTACTAAATTTTTTTTTCATTATAAAAAAAAGGTACTGAACTTGGTGGTGAATTTCCAATACAAGATATGAAAAGTGGTGAAGGTGGCCTATTACAAGTTTGTATGGAAGGCGTTGGTTTATTATTTGCCAATAGTAAGGTAAGTCTTTGGTTTACCTGATGTTTGATTCAATTTTTATTCTTTATCTCTCTCTCTCTCTCCTCATTAATTATATTAAATTGAAAAAAATAAATTTGTTGTTTGTAATGTGTGATGTGTGAGACCATGTACATCTATGAACTTGAAATTGAAAACAGAATAGGAATATTTTTTTTTTGTTTTGTTTGTGATTGGTAATTTGTATTTTGTTTTCACTGAAACTTATGATTGATTGATTAACAATCTTTTTTTTTTGTTTGTTTCTGTTTTGTTTGATCATCGTTGATTAGTATTTTACTTGAAGAAATATTTCATCAAATAATTAAATGAAACAACAATGTTTTTTTTCACATTCCGTTTTCAATTTGTTTGAATTTTAATTTAATTTTTTCTGATTTCATTTTTTATTTTGTCCCACCGAAAAAAAAACAAAATCTTTATAACCAAAGATTGACCAGATTGATTTGTTTTTTATTTCATTATTATTTTTCAAATTTAAGTTTGCGCCTTTGATTTTTTTTGTTTTGTTTCGAATATCATCATTATGATTCGGTTGTGTGTGTGTAAACATTTTAACCATTGATTGATTGATTGATTAAGTTGATTGATAATTATTTATTTCGGACCACTCAAAAAATATCAAACAAAACAGACAAGACAGATGAACCAACCGATCTACCAATCAACCAAACAAAATAATCGAGATTAGTTAAACAAAACAAAAAAAATTATTATTGGAGAATCGAATCAAATTCCGTATATGATAATTTGATTGATTCAAGATACTACACACACACGCACATACATGCATACAATTGAATAAAATTATTTTTCCTAGATGTTTGTTCGTTTGTTTGTTTTTCTCCTCTGTTATTTTTTTGTTTGTTTTTGTTTTTCAACCCTAGACTTTTTAAAATTTGAGATGGTCCTTTGATGGCTAGGATGTTTTATTTCATTTCATTTTTCCTTGTTTTGTTTTTTTTTAATTTTATAATTTTCAAGTCTTCTTTCATCTATACAGGAAATTCAATTCTAAATTCACATTAGTAAAATAGTAATCTTGCTTGTGAATATTCTTGGTTTATGTGTGTGTGAGTTTGGTGTGTGGGATTTTTGCATTGAAATATTTAATCATTCATTAAGTTTTTTCCATAGACAAATAAACAAACACACATACCAAATACTAATTTCGTTGTTTACTTAAAAGACAAAAATCTATTAAATTTTATCAAAATTCATTGATTCATTTTCTTTTTAATTCTTTCTTTTTTTTTTCTCTATCATTAATCCTTTCCCAATCAAAATCCTACCAATTGATCTATCTTTGCAACAATGTTTTTTTTCTTATAAATTTTTTTCTCTCTCTCTCTCTCTAAATTGAAAACAAAAAACTATCAATTCCTACTACTTTGGATTAGGATTTTGAGGTATATTATTATATTTATTTATAATTGAAATAATTTATAAAAATTGATTTTTATATGTAAAAAAATTCTTGTAGAATTTTGTAGTTTTTTTGGTTTTCATTTGCTTCAGTTTTTCTTTTTTTTTTCGTTTCTCTCTTTCTCTCCATCTCTTTTGTTTATTGTTGTTCGTTTTCGTTTTGTTTTTTATTTGATTTTGTTTTTCAATTTGATTTTTGTTTTTTCCCAATCACACAATATTCAAATCGGTCGGGATATGTTATTTTGTCGACTTTTTTAATGCAAAAAAAACTGAATATAAAAAATACACTAACAAACAAAAAACCCCCCTTCGAATATAACCTAATTTCACCAGAATTTTTTTTCTGTTTGTTTGTTTGTTTGAAACCTTTGTGCACCACACACACACACACACACACTTGAAACTAATTTTGACACAAATTTTGACATCCTTTTACAACAACAACAACAACAAAAATGATATAGTAACTATGCTGCTTAAGAATGTTGTGTGAAGGTGTGTGCGTGTGCGTCTTTACCATTTGATGCTGAAACAAACAAACAAATTTTAGAAAATTGTCCAAAAAATTCCATTGATTTTTTTTTCAATATTTTTTTTTACTAATTTTATTTAGTAGTAGTTAGTTACTAGTAGTAGTAAAATTAGTTAATTTGAATAATTTAGTCATACAAAAAGGTATCTTTTTCCGGGTTTTTTTAAATAAAAATTGTTTCATTTATTTTGCTTTATTTGTTTTATTTGATTTTTAATTTTGTTTATTCCCAATTTGGTTAATTTTATTTTATTTCATTTTTAATTTTTTTTCTTGAAAACCATCTCAAATTTATCCAAACAAACCCCAAAAACATTAAATGTTTATCCAATTTTTATGAAGTTTTATTTTAGTCGCTTTAAAATCTATGTGTGTGTAATAATAATCTATATAAACAAAAGGAGAGAATCGTTTTTTTTCTGTATTAGAATTTTAATTTTTTCAATTTAGTTCATTAGCAGTAGTAATAGTAATTTATCAATTAGTATCCAATTAGTGGAATTAGTAGCCGGTTTTTAATTTTCAATTTAGTCAAAGAATTTTTTTTTGATTTTCTCTCTCTCTTCCTCTCTTTCATATACCACAATCAAAATCATAGATGATGATTTGTTTTTTGATTTTTGATTTTTGATTTTAATTTAATTTTTGTTTGTTTGTTTGTTATCGATCGTGCTTGATTAATTGATTGATTGATTTTGGTGTGCATTTTGTCCATTTTGCCTGCCGTAATTATCGTTTTATTTTTTTAGCTTGAATTTTATTTTTTACCTTTGCTTAGTCGGTTTTTTCGTATGCATGTATGTGTGTGTGCGTTTGGTAACTACAGGTTAAAAAATTTTAAAAAGCATCAAATACATCTACCAAATTAGAACACACCAATACCCGAATCAAATCAATAAACACACACACACACAATACACGTCAGATAAAACATTTAACACCGATATTCGGGAATTCTTCCTTTTATATACAAACAAAGTTGATCTTCAAAATATCATATCCTGATCTGATTGGAATTTTGTTTTTATAAATTTCATTTCAAGTTTTATCAATTTTAAATTTTATTATTTTCTGGTTTGTTTGTAGTTTTTTTTCATTATTCAGGATTTTTTGGTTAATTATAAACATTTTTTTTATTCATTAATTAATTCTAATTATTATCTCTTGTAATTTTTATTTCCAATTTCTTTCCCAATATTATTTATTCATTTCATTTTTTCGCTTAATGATTAATTGATTGAATGAATGGAAATAGTTTTTCATTCGTTTGGAAAACATACGAAAATGTTTTACACAAAAAGGTGGAATATTTATCATCGAAGAATTCAGTAAGAATTTTCTTTTCACACAATTCTTTTTTTGTCATCTCGTTTCGCTATCATTTCGTTCGTTTTTTTTTATTTTGATCGAAAATCTTCCATAGATCCTAAAACAAGACAAACAATTCAACGAAAATATCGTTCACAAATGGCCGATCAAATATGTTATGCTGTACTTTGTGTTTTTAGCTATATTGCTGCTGGTCTTGAACAACATAAACGTCAACAACAACAACAACATCAACATCATCAACTACATGGAAAAATGGATACAAAAAATCTTTGTCCAACAAATATTCAACGATCATCATCATCATCATCATCGACAGCAACAACAACAATAACAACAACAACAACAACATCATCATCATCATCAACAGTAATCAGTGCAATACTTGTTCCACAATCTCAACAACAACAACAATCATCAAACTGAACAAAAATCTAAAGAATTTTAGGAACTTTTGTTTTGACAAACTTGACAGAGAATTGGTTAATTCTGTTGTACATTTTGTCTGTGTGTGTGTGTGTGTGTGTTGGTTTTCCTTTGTGTTTAATTCTTCTTCTTTTTTTTCATTTAAAAAAGTTCCTTATATTCTTATCATCATCCATATCTTCATCTATTACGTTAACCGTCCATGTTTTGTTTTGTTTTGTTTTGTTGTTCCCACCACACAATAGAGAATCCCACACAAATGAATTCATGAATGAATGAGAATCACACACACACACAAAGATTTCTTAATTAATTGTACATTTACAAATTGACAAATTCGAGATAGATAAAGTATAGAAATGAAACTTTCATCATCATCATAATCATCATCATTGTTGTTTTTGTTGTTATTATTGTGAATTTTGTTTTGTTTTGTTTAGGTATTTAAATTCATCATCGTTATCATCATCATCATATCATATCATCATAATTAGGATAAGCTTATATTTCAATAAGGATTAGTGTAATGTTTGTTTGTTTGTTTGTGTAATGTTTGTATAGAAAAACTTGATTATTATTTGAACTAAACTTACACCACCAAGCAAAAATTAACTTTGTATTTTGATCTTTTTTTTCTAGAATCTTTATATTTGTAAATTGTGTTATAATAATTTGAAATAAATATCGATTTTTTTTCGGAAATTTTCAATTTTTTTATTTATTTTTTTTTGCTAATAATTTCTATTTAATTTGGACAAAAAGGGTTTAGGGATTTTTTTTCTTTCTTTGATTGCTTCTTCTGAATTCTTTGGAATTAATGTACCATCGAACCATTTGTCATTGTTGTAATGTTGTTATTCTGTCCATTGTTTACAATTGTTGTTTTACAATGACCATTTTCATCGATATTGTTTGTATTGTTGCCATTGATTGTTGCTGTAGATTTAACATATGCTTGGTTATGTGATTTTTGTGCACGGCCAGATGGATCCATTGGACAACCCCAATCAGTTCGTGGTATCCATCGTACAATACTTTCCATACAAGCTGGTTGTGGATAATGCATTTCAAATATTTCACGATACCAATATGCTTCTTTAGTCATTGGTGTATCCATTGGCCATCGTTCATGTCGTAAATCAAACATTTGATCAGTTATACGATGTTCAGCTTCTGCTTTCAATGAATCAATCCATGAATAACCAACACCATCAGAAAATTGTTCTTTTTGTCGCCATAAAATACTATCCGGTAGATATGGTTCTTTATCCGGATCATCCGATGTATCGAATGCTCTAATCATCAAAATATAAAAAATTGGTAATTAATTTTCACAATAAAATTATTATTATTGTCTTACTTTCGAAGAATATATTTTTCAATACGATTTTTCGAACACATTTTTTCTCTTGGATCAATATTCATAACCGTATCAAGAAAATCTTTATCCAAAAATGGTACACGTGCTTCAAGACCCCATGCCATTGTTGATTTATTTGCACGTAAACAATCCGATGTATGAAGATTTTTAACACGTTTAACTGTTTCTTCTTGAAATGCTTGTTCATTTGGTGCTGAATGAAAATAAAGATAACCACCAAATATTTCATCCGAACCTTCACCACTCAATACCATTTTAACACTATTTGCTTTGATTTTTCTTGATAACAAATACATTGGTGTACTTGCCCGAACAGTTGTTACATCATATGTTTCTAAATGATAAATAACATCGGAAATTGCATCCAAACCTTCCTGTACTGAAAATGTATATTCATGATGTACAGTTTTAAGAAATTTACCAACTTCTCTTGCTGCAACTAAATCAGGGGATCGTAAAATTCAATAAAATTCATTAATTAGATAATTTGTTCAACTAGGATAGGATCAAGATTTGAAAAAAAACGTTATTTATATAATACTTATCTGGTAATCCAATCGAAAATGAATGTAATCTTGGCCAATAAGAATCAGATTGTTCATCACTACTACTACCACCACTACTATCACCATTATTTGCTATTACTAAATCTTCATCATTTGATGATTTGTTAAAAAATTGATTATTAGCAGCGAATTCATGTTTAAGCATACGACGTGTTTCACGTGCTGCAATTGATGCAATAACACTTGAATCTAAACCACCTGATAATAATACACCATATGGTACTTCAGACATTAAACGTTTTTTAACAGCTTTTGTCAGTTTTTTACGTATCATTTCATAATCGACTGGCTGTTTAGTGGGTATCAATGATTCATTATACCATTCAGGTTGATACCATTGTTGAAAAGATTTTTGTTTTGAATTATAAATATGTCCAGGTGGAAATGACATTATTGTATCGCATAAATCATTTAAACATTTCATTTCGGATGCAAAATATAATGTTTCTGGTTGATTTTTATTATAACCATAATAAAGTGTTGTTACACCGATAGCATCTCTTGCAACCAAATATGATTTATTATTATTATCATATAATACAAATGAAAATATTCCATCCAAATATTTAACAAAATCATTACCAAACATACGATAAAGATGTATAATTACTTCACAATCCGAATAGGTAACAAATTGACAATCTTTTAATAATTTATTTTTCAATTTACGATAATTATAAATTTCACCATTAACAGTTAATATTAATGATTTATCATGGCTAACAATTGGTTGGGCACCTGAATCAACACCAATTATAGCTAAACGTTCATGACAAAATATATTATTATCCGATATAACACATCCTGACCAATCTGGACCACGATGACGAATTCTTTATTTTTTTATTTTTTTCGTAAACAATCAAAATTACAAAATTGAATTACAAAAAAATTGTAATGAAATTTGATACCTTTTCGAATGATTCAATGCTTTTTGACGAATTTTTTTTACATCATCATTTTTTGAATAATTAAGTACGGCAAATATTCCACACATAATGATGATGATGATGTTTACACAAACTAATTAAAATCAAAATCGAAATCGGAATGAAATTGAATGTAAATGGATGGAATTATTATAGTAAATCACACAAAACAGCCAATACGAATTTTAAAAAATGAACGAATCAACCAACCAACAAACAAACAAACAAACAACCAACCAACAACACAAACTAAAATCCAAAAAGAAAGATTATTTTCATTTGAAACGGCTTTTTATTAATTTTTTTTTTCGATCATCATCATCATCATCAGTCTTATGATATTTTTTTTTTTTAATTCAATCATAATCATCAACCACCACTGATGTTTAACCCGAACATTTGATATTTGAAGCAGAAAAAGAAGTACGTAATGATTATTATTATTGGGAAAAGCAGCGGCACATGGCAAAAATAGATTGGTATTCCGTTCTCTCTTTGGCTTATGAAATAAATTAATTCCATATGATGATGATGATGATGAAAAGAAATTTGATATGATTTTTTTTTTTTTTTTTTTTTTTGGTTTTTGATCGATTTTTTTTTCACTTGAACTTGTATCTTTTTGCTTTGCGTCTATATATATGAATGTATGGCAGGCAATTGAATGAATGTATGGCAAATGATTTTCATGGCCATTTTTTTTTAATTTGATGTGGTCGCTACGTTGCTGTTGTTGTTGAATTTCATTTACATTGGCAAATATAGAAATGAACAAAAAAAAAATTAATCTCCAAGTCTCCATTTTATCCGGCGGTCATTTATAATTGAGAAAAAAATGCTGTTTTCTCTCTCTCTTTTTCTGGTTGATTGAAATTTTAAATGTGAAAATAATATTTGTACAAACTAAATAAACATATTTTACGCGCTTAGCAACAAGTTGTTTTTTGTAAAGTGAAAAATTTTTTCGTTTAAAGCACTTAAAATTCACAAAAAAAAATTATGCAAACATTGAAAAAAAGAACACCAGAAAAAAACTGGCAAAGATTTTTTTTTCTGTTGATTTGGAATGTGTGTGTGGATGTGGATTTTTTTTTTTGTACATTTAAATCCATATGTATCATCAATGTTGATATAGCCGTTGATTCGAATGTTTATTTTTTTTTCATTTCGTTGTTGCTATCACATATGATCGATTTTTGGAAATTTTCTTCGTTTTTTGCTTTTTCTTTGAATTTGAAAAAACACCAAGATACCAAAATAAAGTCGATTTAATGGGAAAAAAGATTTATAAATTGAAAAAAAATCACTTTTCTCCTTCTTCTTTTTTCACAAGAATGTTTGAAGATTTTTTCTAGATTAAGGAATTTTTTCGAAATTTGAGAAATTTTTTTTTTTGGTTTGTTACTTTTACATAAAAGATTATCTGATAATCTGAATGTATGGAATTGTTGATAATATTTGGTGATGGAGATTTGTTTCATCATCATCATCAGTTTTAATTCGAGTTTTTTCGATGATCTTTGTATCGTTCTCTTTTTTTTTTTTGCTGTTGTTATTTGATATTTCGGTACAACTTTAATCATCATCATTTGACGGTAGAAATTGTTGTTAAGCATTTAAATAAATATTAAAAAAAAAATTATCAATCAATCAATAATTATTATCGATAAATGGTGGAAAGAAACAGGATCAAACCAGTTGAATCAAATCATTCATTCATTCATTCGAACAGATTTCCTTTTCATAAAACAAAACAAAACAAAAAAAGGAACGTTTTCTTCCGTTAAAAAAATGATTTACCGTAAACTTTTTTTTGAAAAAAAATTGAGCATTTTCCCCGGGAAATTTTCCTAACTGTTCGATTTGTTGGATATTTTTGTGTTTCAATTACATAATGATACATTTTTTGACATATTTTAAACGATTAATCCGAATTCATTTGGAAATTTATTCATGCCCGTTAGTGTATGTTCATGATGATATGACGAGCAAAAAAATTTTGGAAAATCCAGAATTTATGTGGTCAGCGAACCAATGAACATTCCTTCAACCATAAACATCATCATGATTATCGTCATCAAAAATAAATGGTTTTTTTTTCGAGTGAAAAAAAATCAACAACCAAAACTTGATCTGACAAGATTTTAAATTTTTGTTTCCCCCCATAAACTAGAAATATTTCATTCAACCATTCCGATCAATAAATATCAATTTTTTAAAATGTCAAAAAAGTTAAAAGAAAAAAAATTCGTCGCACATGAATTTTTATTATTTTCAAATGAAAAAATTGGAAAAAAATGAAGAATTTCTTAATCAATAATCAAAAGAATCAACAACAACAACAACAACCAAAAAAACCAAGGAAAAAAAACCTATAACGATAATGATATTTGAGTGATAATCATCAATGATGATCATTACGTAAAAAAATGAAGAAGAAGGAATCGATCGTTTGTGAACAACAACAACAACAACAAACTAAGCGAAAAAAAAATGGAAAGGTAACCTTGACATTAAAAAAATAACATATCAGACCTGAATGAATTTTCAAAAAAGTATTGAATTTTTAATCATAATGATGAAACATAGAAGCAAAGCCAAAAAAAAAATCGAAATGAATTTTTTGAAACCCTTGGAAACCAAAGAAAAAAAGTTAGTTTTTCAAAATTCACTGGAAATATTCAGGGTGAGTATCAAAATGTCTCCCAAAAACAACAACAATCGAATCGTATCACATAACTAAAGTAAAGTGAAAAAAAATCATCAGTGAAGAATATCAGAAAATTAAAAAACAAAGCATAAACGAAATCAAAGAATCATCATTGTTTGTCTGCATGTTTTTTTTTTTGGCTATGTGACCGGTAGTATGATCAATATTCATGATGAGATTTTTTTTCCAAATACAGTCAGGCTATAGTGTTTTGCTGATAAAATCAACAAACATTATCATTATTACGAATTTTGAAGGTGAATTTTGTTTAGTCACAGAAATCCATTAAAAAAACCATATTTCCATAATAATCATTTTCAAAACCAGAGTAATCATGACAACAACAACAACAACAATGACTATTTCGACAAAAATATCATAATTTTGTTTTGTCGAATTTCATTCAGAAACAAATAAAAATAAAATAAACATTTTAGATTTTTGAAATGAAACAACAATAATAACAAAAAAGATTTATTACCTATATATTTCTTTGATTGTAAAATAATGTTTTTGTTTGAATAATGTCGTCAAATGATAGTGATATATCGATTATTAGTTTGGATAAAATTAGTTTAAAACGTTTTACACCAACGATTCGTTCGACAACAACAACAACAAAGGCAAAGACAGCCAATTCATATGATAATCATAATAGTTTAAGATATGATGATAATAAACAAGATATAAAAATGATGAAATTATCATCAATATCATTGACAAAAGGATTAAATAATAATAATAAAATCTATAACGATAAACCGATGAATCGAAATCCATTGAATCGACAATCAACATTCGATATTGAATCATCATCATCATCATCAATGAAAAATGAAGAATTGAAAAAATTATCAACAAAAAATCAAATTATTAAAGATATTGAAAATAATTTTAATGAAAATCAAAATCAAAATCAATATGATAATGATGATGATCGTCCACCAAGCTATTCAAAAGTTGATCAAATAATTATCGATAATAATGATGATGATGATGATGATATTGATGAAGATGATATGTATGTTGCTGATGATAATAATGTCATTGAAAATTATAGTGATAATAATTTTAATAATAATAATATTTCAACAAGACAATATCATGATATACGATCAATAAAATCATCAACATTATCAACATCATTTTCATTGAATCGTAATATTCTTCTTGATGATGATAATGATTCTTCATCATCAAGACAAACAATTGTAAGTAGAATTTGAAGATTTTAAAGTTACAAAAAAAAATTTCTAACTTTTTTTTTAAATTAAAAAAAGATAACTAGTCAGCCAAAAAAATTAATGGAAACATCATTTCATCAAAAACATTCGAATTATAATCATAGTGATGGACGAATCAATCGATCATCGAATAATAATCGATTAAAATCATCATCATCATCGATACATCATCATGTTAATGATGATGATGATGGCGACAATGATGATGATAATTATGATAAAAATTCTTTAAATAATCGAAGCCGATTATCATCAATACAATCAGCTGAATTAAGTCTTGAATATCATAAACTTGAAACAACATTAACAACACAAATGATGATGACAAAAGAAAAATTACCAATAAGTAATGCATGGAATGATTCATCCACATCAACTGTAGCATCGACAATGAATTTACTTGATAATAATCAGAATAATCAAAAAAATAAACGTAAATTTCTTCAAATAAATAATGGTATAACATCAACAATATTATCAACAACAACATCACCAATGTTGATCAATAATAATTTACAACAACAACAACAATATCAATTAAAATTTACCGAAGATTATATATGGAAAAAAGATCGTATGACAATATTTTGTTTTTGTACAACAGCATTAGGTGCTATTGCATCATTAGCAATGTATTGTACAGAATGAATCGATCAACGAAAAGCTAAAACACGAAAAAAAATAAACATTTCTATCCACAAAACAAAACAAAAACAAAAAAACATTAATTAGATTAAATTTAATTAGTGAAATACGAAAAAAATGTATGTTCTTTTTTTTGGAAGATAATCGATCGATCAATCAATCAATCAATCAATTGGATGGACATCGAAAATAATTTATGTTTTTCAATTGAAAACATGAAACATGAACAAAGGATTTTGTCTGGACAAACAATAAATATCTGTAATAATGATGATGGTAGATGATGGGTTTTTTTTTATTCACCAGATAAAAATAATCGATTCTAAATCAATCAATCGAACAAAAATGAAAAATGAAAAATTGACACAAAACACAATTGATTGAAAATTGATCAACAAAAATGTATGGACCACTAATTGATAAAAAAAAAACATTGAACAACGGTTGTAATGATTATCAAAAAGATCGAAATAAAATTGATTGATTGATTGATTGATTTATAGCTGCAGGTTAGAAATGATTACAACAATTTTTTTTGAAAAAAATATTGTTCAAACATCAACCGGAATATGAGCAACTAACCTTTCAAAGATGACGTATTTGAAAAAAAAGGAATTGGATTAATGATATTTATAGCTATAACTATTGATCATTTAGTATAGACTAAATAAAAAATAGAGTTTATGGATTCAATCACAATGATTGATTGATTGATTGTCATCGTTCAACGTCCATGTCCATGCCGATGTGTATTTCCTTTTCTCACTCTCCGAAGAAAGCTCTTTTTCATCAAAGGATTCAACTTTTTTTTTCTTCTGATAGTTTCCCTCAAAAATAGAGAAACAACAAAACAACAACAAAAAATCTTGATTTCTCTTCACACATTTCATCGGTTTGTTTTGTTTGATCGAAATTTATCGATTGTTATCGATTTTGATTTCCAGTTGTTGTTGTCGTCGTCGTAAATTCTTGTTTTTTTCAATTGGCCAAAATAAGAACTATACCCAACTTTGTTTGATGGATTTTGATGAATTTTGTTTTATTCATTTAAAATAGTTCAATGACAAGTTAATTAAGCTGAATTTCTTTATCATCATCATATGATGATGATGAAATTGTTGTTCATACGAACCAAAAACATTTAATCAACGAAAAAGTTTCATTGCCATTTTCATTTCGAACGTTTTGTGTGTGTGGTAAACGGATGATGAGTGTTGAAGGATAAGGAAGAACTCGAAAAAGAAGAAAAACTATGAACAACAACAAAAATTTACGATGATCATCTGTAATAGGAAGTAAATGATCAATTTGTATGTGTGTGGTAAACGCGATGATCAACATATGGTAATGTTATTTGCAATTCAGTTTTTTTTCTATTTGCTTCATTCATTCAAACAAACAAAAAATATTAATTGTAATTTCATATGTGGAAATTGATGTTGTTTTCATCGAAATTTTGGTTGATCATTTTCATTTTTTTCAAATAAAAACACCAATGAAATTTATCAATTCATCATTTTGATTTTGCATCGGATCGATTGATCGATTGATTGATTGATTGAATAATTTGATTTTTCTTGTTTTCAATGTTTATCGATTATCGATCAATCGGATTGATTGAAATTCATTGTTTGTTTGTTTTTTTTTCGTAAAATTAATTATTCATCATGTTTTCAATTCATAAAAAATTCAAAACAACAACAACAACAACAAAAATCAATTTGTTGATTATCGTTATATTGTTATTTCAAATATCGATATCATCGCAATCATCACAATCGATTGTTTCAACATTTTCATTACAAAATCATTCGAAAACATTGAATGATTTAAATTATTATCCAAATGATAATGTTGATAAACAACCAACATTATATCCATTACGAAGTTTTTCCATTTCATTATCATCATATTTACCACCTGATTCTAATTCATCATCATCAACGAAATTTAACAATCAATCATCATCATTTTCGGCAGCATTGAAATCATCACCTTCCGTTGTTAAATCATTGAGTAAAAAGCAAAAAAATCGTACATCAACAACAACCACTGGAAATAGTAATAAAATTACCGTCCGTTTTAATAAATATCATAATTATAATGATATGACAAGATTATTGAAAAATGTAGCTAAAAAACATACAAATCTAACACGTTTATATTCGATTGGTAAATCATTACAAGGACGTGAATTATGGGTTATGCATCTTACTGAGTAAGTTTTTTTTTGTTTTGTTAAATTCACGTTTAGATAATTATTAATTAATTGATAGCGATTCAATTGATGATACAACGATCAATAATCAATCCATTCAATTAAAACCAAATGTAAAATATATTGCAAATATGCATGGTAATGAAGCTGTTGGTCGTGAAATGCTTCTACATTTAATTGCATATCTGGTCAATTTTTCTAATCGTAGTGCAAATGTTAAAAAATTATTAAAACATACAAATATTCATATAATGCCATCAATGAATCCGGATGGATTTGAAAAATCTATTGAAGGTCGTTGTGAAGGACCAGGTAGACAAAATTCAAATGGTATTGATTTGAATCGTAATTTTCCTGATCGTTTATTTAATCGTACTGAAATTGAACAACCTGAAACTGAAGCTATTCGTAAATGGCTGAATCAAATACAATTTGTTCTTTCGGCAAATATACATGGTGGTGCATTAGTTGTTAATTATCCATTTGATGGTAGTGCTATTATTGATTCAGAACATTTGGAAAAAACACCCGATCATGATGTTTTTTTACATTTAGCCAAAACATATGCACAACGTCATCGTAAACTTAAATCACAAATTAAATGTCGAAAAGATGATAATTTTATTGATGGTATTACAAATGGTAATGCATGGTATCCGGTACAAGGTACGTAATACAAATTTTGTTTTGTTATTTTTGGTTACATTGATGATTAAATCGATTAAATTGGATAACAGGAAGCATGCAAGATTATAATTACATTTATGCTGGATGTATGGAATTAACACTTGAAATATCATGCTGTAAATATCCAAATGCAACAAATTTATTAACACATTGGAATGAAAACAAAATACCAATGTTGTCATTATTGAATGAAGCAAATAAAGGTGTCAAAGGTTTTGTTAAGGATTATCAAACAGAAATGCCAATCGCTAAAGCTAATATAACAATATTGGGTCGTAATGTTCAATTTCAAAGTGATAATCAAGGTCGATTTTGGCGTCTATTATTACCCGGTGATTATGTTTTAATTGTAAAACAAAATGGTTATTCACGATTACAAAAACAATTTACAGTTATGGCAAATAAAATTACTGTAATGGAATTATATTTAACACCAATAAGAAAACAGAATGGTAAACAGCTTAATACATTAACATCATCATTATCAAATATAAACAATAATCATCATTATCGATGGAAAAAACTTGATGATCAAACTTTGTTCATGAATAAATCATCATCGCCAACATCACCAACATTTGGAATGAGAAAAATGTTTCTAATCAATAATCGTGTACCAACAAATCGATTTTCACCAATGTTAAATTTTTCAACAAAAATCTATATGTCCATTATTTTGATTAATATTTTGTTGCACACCATTATTGAATCGATAAGATTTTTATCAATTTAATTGGGAAAAAAGATAACAGACAAAATTCTCAATCAATTAAAAAAAAAAAAAAAAACATTCGATTCGAATTTAAACACACACAAAAAAAATTCTGATTAAAAAAGAAATTCAATTCATAGATGGCGCTGTCCAACTTTTTTTTGCCTTGTTCCAGATGTTGATGAAATTCTGTAAAAATTGATGAGTTCTATTTGATGTGTTTTTTTTGGATTTTATTTGTTATCATTTTTCTAAAAAAAGAATCCCGAATAATTTCATTCCAAATTGTGATAATTCAAGTCACAATTTAATCTATTCCATAATCTATTCATTGATTATCCAAGAATCGAAAAAATAGAATTTACACACAATTCTATTGGGAGACAAACGAATTCTGCTTTCACGAATCATCATTTTAATGTGCGCCGATTCTGGCTAGGTTTTCTCATCATAAGAATTATTTCTTGTTCTGTGATTTTGAATTTGATTCACTGAATCCTTTTTGGAATGACTTGAGCATCATCATCATCGATTTGATGATGCTCATCTTTGACTAAACGAGACGAGAAAACATCACAAACACACACACACACACAACAGCTATATATAAATATTGAAGTGTGTTTCTTCAAGATTTTTGGCTAAATTTTTTTTCCCTTCGGTTGGTTGGTTAGTTGGCGGCCTTATTCTTCATTCGAATTTGATCAACCGATCACGTCCGAGCTAAGCAACCATCATCATCATCATCATCAAAATTGTATCAACATTGAATTTTTTTTCCAAGGTGATTTAGTTATATAGATTATTATTCAACAACAACAACAAGAAAAACACCGCCTTGATTCGATTCAATTGTTTATATCGATGATGATGATGGTATGATGGCTGTATAGTGTGTTCGATTGATGGACGCCTGAATGTTATATATTTTTTTTTCAGGCCGAATCTTTATCATCATCATCATCAACATCATATCTGGTGGATCCAAACTATAGATGTTGGTTCGAGTTTGTCAGGATTGATGATGCGCGTTTTAACTCGTATTAGGATGATGATGATAGAAGTTTCCAAGAATTGGAACAGCAAAATTGTTGTATGTTGATGTTTTTTTATTTTATTTGCTGAATTCTGATATAACATTATTATTATCATTTTTTTTTGTTTGATGGAAAAAAACATTCATCTTTTTTTTCAAGATCTAAAATTATCATCAATAGTAATTCTATGTCGGTGTTTGTGTAGGTGTATTTTTTTTTAAATCATCAAATTCATTCGATTAATCATCCTGCCACTATTCCTGTTGAAAATATTGTTGAATTTGATTTGATCATCCAATTAATTTCTGGTCAATTTTCTTTCTGGTTCTGAATGTGAAAAGAAAACATTTTAATTCATTCAATCATCATAACAAAATGGAGCTTCTTATACAAACATTACAGCTTGGTAATGATGAACAAATTTCCACCGAATTGGTCAAATTTTTTCAAAAGGTATAGAATATTTTTAATGTTTTTACTTTTTTTTTTGTTTTCTAAAATTATCCTATTTATTTACAGTATGGAAATACAACTATTCTACAAGATTCATTACCATTAAAACAAAAATTAGTTGATAATCTATTTCGAGTATTAAGAGATCAACAAAAAATTCATCTTTATGCAACAACATTACAAGTATTACGTATATTAACAAGAGATAATTCAACAGTAGATACATTATTTTCAAATGATCGCATTGAAACCCTATTACATTTAGCAATGTTGGTTGGTGAAGATGAAGCATTTATGACTGAAAATAGTCAATCATTTGATGCTAAAATTGTTGTTGAATCACAAAAATGTCTTTCAAATTTGATTGCTTTATCATCAACAATACGTCGTACTTGTAGTAATAATTCTTGTATTGATGGTATAATGCTTAGACTTCGTATGCATCCAGATCCTAATCTACCATATGAGGTTTGTTTAAAATTATAATTAATTTTAATTGAAACAAAAATTGATTAGTTTTTTTCATTATTATTGCCAAAAAGGTTAAATATTTTGACATGTTAATGTTATTCTTTTTAACTGCTTATTGTGCCGAATTACGTCAAAAAATACGTGATGAATATCATGGTTTAATTTATTTAATGGAAGCAATTGATTTATTATTGAAAAATAATGCCGAATATTTGGCCGAAAATATGCCATATAAAAATAAACGTCGTTCAAAAGGTTCAAGACGTGGTAAACGAAATAATAGTAATAATAATGCTCAATCATCAAATACCGGTGGTGGTGGTGGTGAAACAGCTAAAAATTTTGATGAAATAAATGAAACAATGTCAGATTTACGTTTGGATGATACACTTGTAGCTTATTGTCTTGATGATTGGGAAGTTAATCTATCCATACAAGTTATTAAAGTATTATTCAATCTAACAATGAATATTGATTCAAATTCAATGAATGAGGTTTGTTTGATTGATTTTTTTGTTTTGTTTATGTTTATGTTTTGTTTAATCATTTTAAACATCTTGTTTTTTCCCTTCACTTTCCATTTAAAAAGTTTGAAGAAGCACATTTTTTTCGTTTAGTATCAATATTACATGATCTTCTACTCTGTGATACAAAAAATGATGATCGCAAAGAAGATCTACAAAGCCATATTGTTAATCTATTAACCAATATGCCTCCACAGAGTTATGAAGAGCTTTTATCGAAAATTGCCGAACTTGGTAAACCAGAAAATCCTGAACATGAATATATGGAAATGAATCTTGAAGTAATAGCTGCATTATTGGATTTTTTACGTATTCGTCTTGATGATGCAAGTTTTTTTTTATAAAAAAAAGAATCAAATTTTAAATTGATTGATTTTTTTTTCATCAAAAAATAATTAAATATTTTAGGCAGATAAATCGAATGCCCTTGAACGTTTGGCACCAATATTACAATGTTTAATACGAGCTTGTGATGCTCATCCAATCATTCGAAAATATGTTCGTTATCAAATATTACCTCCATTAAAAGATGTACAAAATCGACCCGAACAAGGCGATACAATGCGAAATAAATTGGTTCGATTGATGACATCAACCAATGTTAATCTCAAACATTTATCCGCACATTTTCTATTCATCCTATGCAAAGGAAATGTTGGCCGTTTAATTAAATATACTGGCTATGGTAATGCTGCAGGATTATTGGCCAGTCTTGGTCTAATGAAAACAGATTCAAAAATGTTAAATTATTCATCGGATTCAGAAGAAAGTGAAACAGAAGAATATTCATCAAATGTTGATAAGTAAGTTTTGTATTCATTCTACAAATAATTGTTTAACTAAATTTCTTTCGAAATTATCATAAAAAAAGAATAAATCCAATTGTTGGATGTGTTCAAGAAGAAGGACCCGATCCATTAGCCAATATGACTGAAGAGCAAAAAGAATATGAAGCTAATCGTTTAGTTAATGCTATTGATCAACTTCAAAGAAGTGGTATAATACAACCATGTCGTATTGGTGCTGATGGTAGACCACAACCAGTGGAACATGTATTACAATTACAAGAAGAATATCAACGAAATAATCATTCATCAAACAGAAAACAACAACAACAACAATCAGATTCTGATTCTGATTGAATTTATTTATTCCAACAACACAAAAACGAAGTGTTTTTTTTTGCATCATCATTATCATCATTTTATTTAGTCAAATTATTTAATTCTTTGATAACTTTATTTACTCTTTTTTTTTGGTTTTTCCATCATTATTCAACCATTCGATATTTGATTTTTTCATTTGTTGATTTTGTTTGTTTTGTTTTGTTTTGCATCAATCATCATCATCATCATTATTATTGAAATTCAATACTAAATCATTCAACATTTGGCCAATAATATATCAATTACATTCATTCATTTCAACTAATACTTCATTTTTTTGAATGTTTCTTCTTCTAATCAACGATTTAAAAAAAACAACAAAAACAATTCAATCAAGATGATTTTCAACTACAACAAAATATATATTCAAAAATACTTTTCTCGTCTGTTTTTTCTTTCTTTTTTGCTCTATATGAATATTTGTTTTCCTTCCTTCCTTCCGTTCTTTTCGCTATATGAAAAAGCTTATTTTTTTCTGTTTGTTTTGTTTCCCGAAAAAAAACTTCATATTTATAACAATTTGATTCTTTCTTCTTCTTTTTTTTCAAATGAAAATATAAAATGTTTGCAAATTTTCGGAATTTGAAAAATATTATTTAAAAAAAAAATGTTTTTTAGGAATCTAATGGCAGGATTTTTCACAACAACAAAAAAAAAACAATCTTGGAAATTATAAACAATGAATTGAGAATCGCAATAATAGATGGCGTTGAAGCTTCTCCATCCAACAAAAAAAATTCTGATTCGGTAAAATAAAAAAATCTGTTCAGAATCCATGAATTTCACCAATCAACAGAATTGTACCGGTACGAGTATGACGTAGAAAATATAAAAATGGATGATCAAATGAAAGGGCAGCATTTTTTGAATCATTAATTAATTTAGATTTGGATTTGGATTTACGTTTTTTCGTAAACATCGAATCAACAGGTCCGATTCCATTTTCACCAAATTCCATTCGTACTTTATGTTTAATATCATTGACAAAAATATTCTCCTGATACGTTATTATTGATGATAGATTGGCCATTTTTGGTTGAAATATATCACGAACACCCATTCGTTCTAATGTACCACGGAGATCATATTCGGCTTCAATACCGAATGTTGGTAATTCAATTAAAATTTTTCCATAAACATCCATACGACGTATACTTGTTTCAATATACCATGGATTAATTGCACGACGAATTAATGAAAGATCATCATTAATACGTGATGGTAATATTATATATAATGCATATCGTTGTTCTTTGAATGGTAATTCAATCATTGCTGCATCAATTTCATCTAATGGTACAACAGCAACTGGTGCTTTTAATCTCATAAATGGAACATTATCATATGTAACATAATTTGCACCATAAAATGTTGCCGGTTTTGTATTCGTTATATCGAATCGATTTAACCAGATACCATGAAAAAATGCTGCATCCAATAATACAACAGCTTCATTCGAATCCGGTATTTGTTCGATTAATGTTGAACCATTTAAAATAAAATCCGATGGATTTTGATTGATAATAATTTCAGCTTTAAAATAATCTTGTATCATTTGTGCATAATCAAGATTAATTTTTAATGTTTGATTTGTAATTAATGCACGTGTATTTTTAAGATCATTTGTTTTGAGTAAAATTTTTCGTATCAATTCACGTTCACGATTACGATCAGGACTAATATTGGCCATTGAAAATGCTAATAATGATTCTAATTGTTGATTAGCATCCGAATCATCATTAGTGGCTAGATGTAACATTGTTAATGTTGTTGTTAAACTTAATGGTGATATTAGTATATTTTTTCGTATTTCATTATCAGATTGTTCATTATTTAATTGATTTAATAAATTATAACCAAAATAATTTGTAACTAATGTAAATTTTCTTGGTATTATAATTGGACGATTTGAATATGATGATACTGTTTGTTTGGTACAAAAATTCATAACCATAAAACAAATTATTGTTGAGTAAATTTTCATTGAATCAATAGCCATTTTTGTTTACTTGGGGATCGTTTTGTTTTTCATTGGCTTTTCTTTAGCTGAAAATGAAATCCGGAAACCAAAAAATCAATCAATGAAGGAATGAAAACACAGAAAACAAAATTGATTTTGATGAAAAAAATTGATGATGATTATCACAAATTGGTGGCGAATCAACAAACAAACAAAAAAAAAGATGATATGTTTTGGTCAGGATGAAATTCAAAAAAAAAAAAAATGAATTTTTAATGATGTTTTCGTTGTTGTTGTGGTCGTAGTCGTTGTAGTCGTAGCCGTCACATCATGGACACATCAACTATAAACACACACACATCACCATCATCATCATCATCAAAGCATAAATTTAACCAATTTGAAATGGAAAATATTGATTTTGATGATCATCATTATCATCATAATCAAAATATAATTTTTTTTTCTTCTTCTTCTTCAGTAGCTGTATATATATTCAATGCCGTTAATGATGCCAATCGATCGATTGATCGTTCGATCAATCAATCAATAATGTTTGTGATCAATTTGCGCAGCCGAAATGATCCAGGATAGATGAAAAATGAAAAAATCAAAATAATAATAATGCTGATGACAGATTGAAACGAAGGTCGATGTTGTTGATGACTTTGGTTGATGGAAACAATTCACTGGTGGTGGTGATGATGATGGTGGTGATCAACCAAAATAGAAGAAGGAAAAAATTCTTTATGAAATGTCCACTGTCATCATTTCTTATGAATCAACGTGCACGTGCAAATAAAAAAATTTAGACATTTCTTTGCTGCTGCTGCCGATGACGATGATGATGAAATTCACACATCATAATGATGATGAAATCCGAAAAAAAGAGAATGTCGATTTCAATGGATAAGGAATGAATGAATGAATGAATGAATGAATGAAGAATGAAATGGACAAGCACGCGATTGATGACTATCATCATCAACATTGACTAATAAAGGATCAAAAGAGTATTCATCAAACAAACAAACAACAACAAAAAGAGTTCAAATCATGACTGAAATTTTCTCATTGAAAAAAAAAGAAAAACGAAAAATATTGTTCAATTCGCGAATGTGTCAAAACAACGACGACGACACCTGATAATAATTTTGTTTTTTTTTCTCTTGATTCAATAATGATGATGATCCATAACCACTGAAGAAGAAATGAAGAACGTTTGGCAAAAAAAAAGAAGAAGAAGAAAATCTTTGTATTGTCATCGATAATGATGATCACCATTATCGTCATCAGACAGACCTGTTAAATGACAATTGAATAAATAAAAGAAAAATAAATTTAAATAAAATTTTTCGTTTGTTGTTCGTTCGTATTTTTTTCAAATAAAAAAATCAATTCACAATTTTTATTTTATTAAGAAATTTTCCTTACGTTTCTCTTTCTCGATGTTTGTTTGTTTGTTGACAATCTTTCAATCAGTTTATTTATTTATCATTTTTTATTGCAAAATTTTTTTAAAAACTTTTAAAAATGAAAATTCTCCAATCGACAATAATATGGCGCGATAGTGATGAACATTTACTATCGATTATGGCGAGGGAAAAAAACAAAACAAAACAATCATCAGGATGTTTGTTTGTTTGTTAATCTCATTTTGGATTTTTTTGGCTTCCAAAAATTGAAACAAAAAAAAACCGGTAGCCAAAATACATCTAAAACGATGATGGTGATGTGTTGGATAAGATATGGACGGTTAGACATCCACCACCACCACCATTATCCTCATATCATTATCGTGATCCAGATCAAGATTCAATCAATTTTACCATTACCAAAACCCGAAATAAAATGGAAAGTTTTTTTTCATTTTACATTTCCTCTACCATCAAAACCGTACAAGAAAAAACAAAACAAAACAAAACAAAAAATCCATCACATCATTTAAAAATTGTCAACACACAGAGTTTATCGCGGGTATGAAACTTTTTCATTTTATTTTTTTTTATTCAATTTCATTGTTCTCGAAAAAAAATTCAATGGAAAATTTTATTTTTTTATTTTTTTATTTCGAAATTCAATTTTAAAATTTTTCAATAAAGAAATTCGCTTCCTTAATGTTTTTTGTTTTTTTTTTTGTTTTTCTGTTCTGTTTTTCAGAATGTATGCATTTCGCCCATCATATAGATCTGTCCGGTTTGTTTATGACGTATAAAATAAAAGAATGGATGATTAAAATTATAGAATATTGGTGCAACACCAGAATCTTCATTTTCATTATCTTTTCGTTTGGCATTATTTTCATTCAAAATCATTTTGGATCGATGAATTACTTGTGTAAGATGTGCACCCGATTGTGTTGAAATCGAACCAAATTTAGCATCATTACCGAATGCATCAACAATACCCATTTTCATTAAAACATCGGATAATTGTTCTTCTTTATAATCAACATTTAATCTTGGTAATTCAACAGTTGAATCAATTTTATATGATAGTTTATTGATCATTTTTTCAATATATGATACATTCAATGATGTACGTATATCGGAAAGATCATCATTTGGATCTCTTGGTAATATACCATAAAATGCAACCTGATCATCTTTGAATGGAAATTCAATCATATCGGCTTCAACATCCGATAGATAAACAAAACCATATCGTCCAAATTTTCTCATAAATGTAACATTATTATAAGTAACATCATTACGACCAAAAAATGTATCAATATGGCTATCTTCTTCATAAAATGGATACATCCATTTTCCACTAAAATATGTACCATCTGCTAACATCATACTTATATCCGATGGTTTAGCCATTATCATTTGGCTAATCATATTATCAGTTTTATCGGCAAACATTTTATTCAAATCATTCATATTAACATTTGATTCGAATAATTGTGCTTGAAAATTATCTTCTAACATTTTTCGATAAGCATCGGTAAAACCAATACCATCTTTACCAATCAATGCATTAGCCATACGATATGTAACACCGGATGATGATGATTGAATTGATTCATAACCATCTTTTACAGCTTTCGGTATTATTGCTTTATCCATTGAATCAAATTTCATTACTTTAGCAAATTGTTCAGCTGTTTGGCCATTAGCACCATCATATAACATTGCCAATGATGATGCTAAACCATATGGTGATATAAGAATATTTTTCGGTTCAGCATATTGAGATCTAGCCTCTTCAGTAGCATCATCCGGTGGTGATGGATTTAATTGTTCAACAACATTAAAACCAAATTCATTCGATGCACTAACAAATGGTGATGGTACTATTGGCTGTTCCGGTTGTTTTGCTGACAGAATAACATTTTGACAATTAATTAATGAACATATTGAACAGATATTCAATAGAAAAATTGAAAAGAATTTCATGATGATGATGATGATTGAACAAAACAAAATAATTAATTGGAAATAAACTTTAAACAAAAAACAAAACAAACTGGAATGAAAAGAAAATTCAATAAACATTGAATTTTTATAGGAAAACAAAAATTTCGGACTTTTTTCTTCAGAAGCAACAAAAAAAACGATGAAGAAGAAGAACTTCACCGATAACAAAACAACAACAGCCGCATCTTCATAAACAACAACAACATTAAGAAGATGTTGCAAACATCCTTATTATTCAAGAAAAAAAAGCCATGACCACCTTGAATCAATGGGATATATATTATAATAAATACATGTTTTATAACAATGATTATGTGTGTGTGTTAGGATGTTAAGATCTTTTATCAAGCAACAACAACAGAAAAAAAAGGGATTGGAAACAAATGAATTTAATACATTAATTTTTTTTTGGCTGGAAGCATCCACTCTAGATATGAAGGAGAAAGGGATAGAGATGATTGGGGAAACGAAACGAGTTTACCTTGAAATTCAATTTTCAGATTTAAAAGTACAATTTTTTTTTGTTTGCATTCGAAAAATTTAAGTAAAAAGTAGAAGAAAAATAAAATGATATGTATGATGATCATCATTGATGAGAATGGTTAGCCAGATTGGAAAAATCTACCTGAAATTGGATTTTTTTTTGAAGTAATAAAAACAAACAGAAATTGTAACAAGAAAAAAGAATTTTATTCATTTAGGAAATAGGATTTTGATGTGTGATGGTGATGGTGATGATTTTGATTTAGAAATTATGAATTTCACCAAGGAATAAAATCTGACCGGTTTTTCGATGTCGAATAAAATACAAAAATGGATGATCAAAACGGAAAGTTTTTGATAGTCCAGCTGACTTAACACCTATTTGAATATAGGTACTGGCAGCAGCTTCAGTTCCTTGTTCATTCACAATTAATTTGGCTTTATGAATGGCTTTATCGATTTTCAATGATTTATCACCGCTGATGCCAGAAAGATCAGCTAAATTAGTGAAAACATCTTGAATGCACATTGATTTTAAGATTTTGGGTAATTCATATGATGTAGCAAGTTTAATTTTTGGAAAATAGACAGTTGAATAACCAGCAATTCGACTAATCATTTCATTGATGAAAGATGAATTTAAGGATTGACGAATTTTACTTAGATCACAATTACGTTCACGTGGTAATAAACCGTAGAATGCAACATCTTTACCTTTATATGGCATTTTGATCAGATCGGAATTCAATTGCTTAACTTCAGCATATCCAAATGGACCATCTCCATTCATATATTGAACATTTTTATATTCTTGACCACGATGATCATAGAATACATCTGGTTTGGTTAATTTTGGATCAAACTGTTCCACCCATTCACCTTTAAAATAAACAGCATTTATTAATGCAAGAACAGTACTCGGCGATGGTGGCTGTTCAAGCATACGATCAATTAAACCATGTGTTTTGTTCGATATATATTGATTGATTTGTTCCATAATATTGTTCGAATCTTTGGCAAAATCAACCGACATTACTTGACTATCATAAAATTTTTCAATAGTTTTCCGATATTCATCTTTAATAGGTGGTTTTTTATTATCTACAACCAACATATTACCATATTCCAATATAATATGTTCTGCTTTGTTCATTCGTTCTCGCAATCGTTTCACAGAATTGGCTACGGCTTGATATTCACCATTATTCAATTGTGATATTTTATCATAATTCAATGCTCGTTTGAATTGTTCTGCAGTATATCCTTGTGTACCTTGATATACCATCGATAATGCAACGGCAACACTGTATGGTGAGAAGAAAACATTTTCCGAACCAGATGAATGATGTTGAATTTGTTGCAATAAATGAAAACCAAAATCATTCGAAGCTTTGGCAAATCCTCTAGCTGATCCCAGTATTACAATATGACTAATAAGACTAACATTACGAGCTTCATAAGTGACAGCCATCACCATCATCAAAACAAATGATGTAATAAAAATTTTCATTTTCTTTGATTTTGTTTTTGGTTGTTGGATAATTCTCGGATAAAAATACTTTTAATAATATTAATAATCAGACTATTAAAGGATAAAATTTAGCTAGAACCAAGCTTAGCTTTATATAATTTAATCTTAATTGTTAAAATTCTATTGAATTATAATTCAATTTATAACATTTTCCTCTCGAAACGGCTAAGGTTCCGTGAATCGAACTAGAAATTATTCGAACTGTTTTAATGTTCAAAAACAACAATTATTCATTTTAATTTATGGATGGATGATCAAAACGGATAGTTCTTGGTATTCCTGTATACATTCTAGACATAAATGATGAATAGGTACTGGCAGAAGCTTCTGTTCCTTTTTCATTAATAATTAATTTTGCTTTATGAATGACTTCATCGATTTTCATTGATTTATTATTGCTGATACCAGAAAAATTAGCCGATCCAGTGAAAGCATCTTGTATGCCCATTGTATTTAAAATTCCGGGCAATTGATATGATGTACTAAGTTCAATTTTTGGGAAATAGACAACTGAATTACCTTTATTTCGACCAATAATTTCATCAATGAAAGATGAATTTAATGATTGACGGATTTTACTTAGATCACAATTACGTTCACGTGGTAATACACTGTAGAAGGCAACATCTCTAGTTCTGTATCGCATTATAATCAGATCGGAATTCAATTCCGGAATTTCAACATAT